TTTAAATCACATGAGCCAAGATTATTTCTTGTTTGGGAGGAAAAACACTACCTTGGGTTTTTGGGATTTGTCATCATCAACTGGGCTCAACCGTGAGAATCCAGAGAAGTTAATCCAACCAACCTGGGTGGGCGTGGGGGGGCAGTCAGAGAAGGCTTGCATAGGAGGGCACATCTGAGATAAGACCTAAAAAACGAGGAGGAGGTAGCCATTGAAGATAATGAAGAAGGGTGATGGAGGTAGAGGGCACAGCAGGAAGACAATCCCAGAGGTGGGAGGGAGGGAGCCTTGACAGGTAATGTCCCAATGAGAACACTGCTTTCCTCTCTGGAAAGGGCCTGGCCTGTGGATAAGTGTCTTCCACTCAGCCTGATCATCTCTCCCACCAGCCCCTGCTAAGCCTCGACTCTGTCATCACCTGCCCCAGTTCCCTGCCCTGGCCTGTCTCCTCCTCTGATTCACCACCCACAGGACACCTAGAATGTTCCCCCCCACTTTGTTTTAACTTTTAATTTCTTAATTTAGATAATGGTTTCAAATCTACAGACTGTTCGAAACAAGTCTAACAGAACCCCACGTGCCACCCACATTTCACAGATGTAAACATTTTCCTACTTGCACCAGTCAGCGGGGAGTCCGGTTCTCCCTCTCCCTCTGCCCCTGCTTGTGTCCCCTCTCTTGCTGTGTCTCTCTCTGAAAAAGAAATAAAATGTTGTAGATGCAAATTAAACCCCTCCCCCTTCTCTGTTCCTTCTTCCCTCCATCCCTGAAAGAAACCACCAAACTCCTGTTGCTGTATATCAACCCTGTGTGTATTTCATACTTTTACTCAGTATGTGTGGACACACTTGGTACAGAGCTCTTGCTTTGGGTGTTTCAGTGACCTTAGTGACTTCTGCCGAACCTTTCCAGCTCTTCACTTTCTAAGACTCACCTTCTGGGTCTCTCAGCTGGCCCAGTTGACGTTTCAGTTGACACTGTCATAAAAAGGCCAACTGTTATGAGGAAATTAGAGACAGGACGGTCTAAAATGTGCCACATAGTCATCACAAATTTTAAAACTGTATATCCAAGAAGCCAAATGATAAGAATCCATCTCTGGTATTCATGCTAATAAAGGTTTTATCCCCCCAAAGTAATGTCCTGTAGATGGCACTTAAACTTTAATATGCATACAAATCCCTGACAGATTTGGTCAAAACGCATGTTTTGATTCAGTAAGTCCAGGAGTGGAGGGGCAAGGGATTCTGCATTTCTAACAAGCCCCTGGGGGATGCTGGTCCTTGAACACCTTATAAGCAGCAAATTACAGGCATTAATGTGAGAGCTTGAAGCTTGTCAAACAGGGATCAGGAGCAGAACACGGGTTAACTATCTCAGTTTGGGGATGATAATCATTTTGTCATTTGTATATTGAACAGACTGAACAGGGTGGGGGGTACAAATATGACTTCCACTTCTTTCTGTAAGATGCCAATCTCACATTTTTGCATCAACCTTTTGGGGAATGGAGAAGAAAACATCCTCTTCTTATGTAGGAGAGGAAGAGGAGAGTCACTCCAACTTCCTCCAGGAACAGCAGCTTGAGGTTAACAGTAACTCCACAGACACCAAGAGTCCCTGCTTGCAGAGTGGATCAGGGTTCCATCTGAGAGGCTGAACCACTAGGGGAGATGATAGATAGATAGATAGATAGATAGATAGATAGATAGATAGATAGATAGATTAGACAGACAGATGAACTGGGATTTAACCTTATGCAGTTGGAGTTATGAAGCGGTTCCCAACATTGTGGTCTCAGTGTCTGATGCTGGCACTCGAAGTGCACAGGGCAGGCAGTTCGGAAGGGAAGACAGATATAAAGTGGGGTGAAGCTAGGACAAGCTGGTACAAGCTGGCCTCTGCCCTTGGTGGTAAGAGCGTCCAAGGGAGAAGCTGGCATCCTTCATCATGGAGCCAAAGACACACCCGGCCCAGGAGTTGGAGCAGTTGAGACGAAGATGCAGGAACAGGTGGAACAATTGCTGGCCCGCTGCTGCCCCTGCCCTGATGCAAACCTGATGAGCCAGCAGCCAGCCAGCGACAGCCTGTGTGATCTACAAAATGGCAGCTGTTTCGCCTCTGCCTCCAAATCCTGCCCAAGAATCTCTATTGGTGCATCCTAACTGAAAGCACATGGAGAAGGTAATTCTAAGATACAGTTCATTCAGCCTGCTCAAGCTGATACATTACAAAGCCACAGCACAGAGACCGGAGGAGAGTGGTGAGAAGATCCGTCAGTGGCTGCTGGGGAGAGCAGAGGCACCTTCAATGCATGTGTCTAATAACCTCTGCATGTTTTTTTTTTTTTTTTTTTTTTTTTTTTAGAGTTGGAGGGACAACTGGTAGTAGCCATCTCTTATTTGGCTTTAGCCTTTCTTCCAAAACATACAGATCCTTTTATTTTTTTTTTAAGATTTTATTTATTTATTTGACAGAGAGAGACACAGCAAGAGAGGGAACACAAGCAGGGGCAGTGGGAGAGGGAGAAGCAGGCTTCACGCCGAACAGAGAGCCCGATGTGGGGCTCGATCCCAGGACCCTGGGACCATGACCTGAGCCGAAGGCAGACGCTTAACGACTGAGCCATCCAGGCGCCCCAAGAATCCTTTTATGTTATAGCTTCAGTCAAGGTGCATCTGATTAGTTGTCATTAGGTTATGGTTACAGATGTTTCATTAAATAATATTCCAACTTTCAACCATTATTTTTTAATAGACTTTATTTTTCATGAACAGCTCAATGCTTACAGCAAGTTACACAAAAAGTAAAGAAAATTCCCATATACTTCCTGTCCTTCCACACACATTTTCCCCTATTATTACCACCTTGCAGGAGTATGGTACCTTTGTTACAATTGATGGCCAACAGTGAAACATTATTACTATCTAGAATCCATACTTTACATTAAGGCTCACTCTGTGTTGTACAGTTCTCTGGCTTTTTATAAATGCATAATGTGATATATCCACCATTACAGTATCATACAAAATAGTTTCACCTTTCCAATCCCTACCCCCCACCTCATGATCCTCTGGCAACCACTGATCTTTTTACTGGTCTCTATAGTTTGGCCTTTTCTACAATGCCATATATTTGTGATCATAGAGTCTATTGCCTTTTCAGATTGTCTTCCAAAGCAGCTGTATCATTTTGCATTCCCACCAGCAAAGAAGGAGAGTTCCTGTTGTTCCACAGCCTCAAGAGCATTTGGTGTCATTTTTTTGGAATTTGGACATTCTAAAAGTTGTGTTGAGACATACCATTGTTGTTTGAATTTGCAATTCCCTAATGACATGATGGTTAGCAACTTTTCATGCTTATTTGCCACCTGTACATCTTCTTCAGTGAGATATCTGTTCATAAGTTTTGTCCATTTTTAAGTAGATTCTTTGTTTTCTTATGGTTGGGTTTTAAGAGTTCTTTGTATATTTTACATACAAGTCCATCATCAGGTATGTGTTTTGCAAATATTTCTGCCAGTCTGTGATTTGTCTTTTCATTCTAACAGCCAGTACTTTTTAAAGCCCCTTGAAAGGCTCAAAGCCCAATGGCAGACATGCTGTCTAATTGATTTTGTTTTTTAATAGCAAAACACCGCACAAAAGGCAGAAGGATAGCAATGTTTGAGCGAAATGGCACCTTTTTTTTTTTTTTCGAAATGGCACCTTTTGAGAATTAGGCACTGTGGAGTACCAGCTGCTCTTTCTTCCAGGAAACCCACCTGAATTACATCAGCCCTTGGCACCCTCTTCTGCTTCTCAGCCCTTATGAAACACTTGAAGCTGGACTCAGCTTCTCCCCCAAATTTGGTATCTTAATGGTGATCCCATGGTCCCTTTGTCCCTGGGCCAGAGACTCAGCCAACCCTTGGATGTCCCTTTGACTCCTCACACCCACAGGGCCCCACATTGTTATCAGCATCTCCCCCAAAATTGTCCCTTTTCTCACATCCACATTTCAAGGTCTGCTCCACCTAATCCCCAGCGCCGAGCCCTGGACCTCAGGCTGGACGCCCTGCCCCTACAGCCAATCAATCTCCTGACCCACTCACTCAGTTGTCTCCTCTCGGCTCCACAGCCCTATATGGCCCACCATTGCCCTCCACCCGCATACCTCATCCTGCTCCACCCCCCTCCCTCAGTCCCCAGTTTTATTCTCACCCCACCACTTCTCCCATCATGTGTTTTTTTGAATAACTACTTAGAGTCAGGCTTTGAACTAGACACTGGGGACAGCATGGTGACCTAGGCAAGCATGTTCAGTGAAATGTCCCTGAATGTTGCCATTTCTCAGGGCCCTGTCCGAGGCTGAGTGGGCTCTCCAGAACTCCTGGCCCAGCATCCAGTGCTTTCTGGGGCAGCCCACAGACCCCTCACATTCCCTGTGTCCCAAACTAACCCGCTCCTGCTGCGTATTTTCTACCATCCCTACCTGATGATGGTGATGTGTCTAAGTCCCCCACTGAACCTGAGCTCCGTAGCATGGAGACTGGGGCTGTCTCGGATCACGAATGTTATGGAATGGTAAAGACGAACGAATACCTGGAAGAATGCATGCCCGGGAGATATCAGGGTCATGCTATCGGCCCCCTATCCCTCACTCAGACCTGAAATACCCTGTTTCTGAAATCAAAGAGCAGTAAGTCTGGCATCTCCGTACCTGGCTTCCTAGGATGAAAGTCCCATTTTGTCAAGAAAATCAAGGGAGGCATTTGGGACCTTCTGCCTCTTAGGGGACACTTGGTGGTGAGCGGGAGGACGAGGAAAGCGAACGGGCCCCACCGTTTCTCCACACGCCTTTCATCTTCACTCAAAGCGACCCCCCCTCCCCCCGGAAGAGCGAGAGACACTGGACCGCTCAGCAGCGCTAAGGAACCGCGAGGCCCCAGTCGGCCTGGCAACTGATGGCGTCACTGCCGGCGCGCTCGTGACGTCAGAGGCGGGCGCCACACTTGAAGAGGGTGCGGGAAGCCGCTGCGCGTTATCATGGAGTTAATGCAGGAAGCGCGGGAACTGGGTTGCTGGGCGACGGAAGAGATGGGGGCGCCCGTCGCAGCCCAAGCCCCGGAGTCGACGCTGCGCAGGTGAGGGACGCTTTAAGTGTAAGCACTCCCAACCCTGGAGATAGTCTCCGGGGATGAGAACCCCACCCCTCACTGAAGACCCGCGTTCCTCTGCCTCAGTGAGAATGACCCTTAAGGGCGGCCCCCCACATACACCCAGTAGTATATCCAGGAGGAGGATCCGGGGTTGAGTGAGGACCCCCCTGGGCGGTGACCCCCACACTCCCATCCCCTACCCCGTGAGACCAACCAGAGTGAGGGCCGGCCGAGGCACCAGTGAGGATCCTCTGAGAGTTAACGAGGCCCCCTTCCTGTGTGGAAGTAAGATCTTTGGAGTGAGACTGTCTCTGCAACACCCTACCACCCCCACCCACCCTAACCAGTGCAGAGACTCGAGTCACCAAAGACCACCGCATTGGAGGTTGAATCTATAGGAGTGATGACCCACATCTGGTAAGGAGAGCACTTCCTGGCAGTATACTCCCCAGCCCCTCCTCTGGAAGTGACTAGAGATAGCCCTCTCCCAGGAGAAAGGAATCACCCCACCAGGGAATGAGAATATCCCTACACCCAGTGAGAAGCCCACAATTCAGTGACCGAGAACTCCCCAGGAGGGAATATCTCACCCCAGAAAGTATGGACCCTCTTTCCCCCCAGAAGTGAGAATTCCCTGGTGAAGACTTTACCCACCACGACCACCCTGCGAATAAGGATGATCCACCCTGTGTGATACCCAAGGCATACCTTTACACACTCTCCCCACAGACTGTGTCTGGGCCAGGGGGCCGACATCTGGGCCTATGTTTTGCGGCATGTGCACAGCCAGAGGTGAGCCTGGCCACATGAGGGAGGCTGTGACGGGGGGGGACACAGGCAAGCCCCACAGTAACACCTCTTCCTTCTGCCTCTCCACTGTAGGAGTGTCAAGAAGATCCGGGGAAACCTACTCTGGTAACTGGTTCTAAAAGCTCTTCCTTCCTATTTCCCCGAGTCCCATCCAGCTGTGTTTTCACCCACAGCCTCACACCTCCTGTCATCCCCCTGGAAGTCCCTGTCATCCCCTAACTCTGACAGTCCCTGTAATCCCCTGTCGTTTCCTCAGGTATGGCCACCAGGACAGTCCAGAGGTGAGAAGAATGTGTTACAAGATTTTCTTTCATCCAAAAAGAGGACTTGTAGATTTCTGCTCTAGGCCCAGCCTTGTGCTATGGGATGCTGGGGACCCTGGGTCACAAGACAGCCCTGATCCCCACACTCACAGGGCTTACAGTGCAGGGGAGACAGGCATGAGCTGGGTGTTGAGGGGACATGGATATGAGGCATCCAACCTGATGAGGGGAGATGGGAGAAGGGACTGGTTTGGGAGATAGACTGAGGCCATTGTAGGACCTATTATACGCAGGGGGCCCTGGTGACATCAAGGGGGAGGCTTCCAGAAGACCTTGGGACCCCTAGATGTGGGGCTTAGTGGGGAGGTGAGAACTGGGACAGAGGTGTAGTGTCATCAGTCAGAGACAGGAAACAATTTAGGAGGATAGGGGAGGCAATCCCAGGAGGAAGGAGGAGGCCAGATGGTACCCTAGTGTTCTTCTAGGCCTAGAGAATCAGACACAGAAACTGCTTAAGATAAACCCTCTGTCACCTACCTGTGCAGGCAAGGAGACCAGTGCTCCACAAAGAGCAGTCAGGCCAGGCCAGGCCAAGACCCAAGCCAGGCCATGCATCTGACTCTGTACCTGATCTCGCCAGGCCCGTCGGAAGCTGGAGCTGGAAGCCACTGTTGCTCGCCTGCGGGCAGAGATCCAGGAGTTAGACCAGAGCCTGGAGCTGATGGAGCAAGAGACCGAGGCTCAGGGTGACCTATGGGGCTGGGAAGATGAGCAACAGAGTGGGGGTAGGGGAACGGCTGATAGCCACGTGTTTCTCCTCCAGACATGGCCCTGGAGCAAGCCCTTCAGAGCATTCAAGACACCCAGCGCCGTGCTCTCCTCCTCCGGGCCCAAGCTGGGGCCATGCAAAGACAGCAGCGTGGGCTGCAAGATCCCATGCAGCAGCTGCAGAATCAGCTGAGGCGTCTGCAGGACATAGAGAGGTGGGCCTCAGGTGCCCAGGGACCAGCCTTCACCAGGCGGGGCGGGCAGACATTTTCCTTAGAGACCTCAGTGCTCCACCCTGACCCTTCTTGGGTTCCAAAATTCTGAGCTCCACTCCTAAGGATTTAAAGTCCGTGAGGTCAGAAAGTTTTCTCATCTCAGCCACTTATATTTCCAGTGCTTAGAATGGTGCCAACTGTATGTCTAGGGTATGTTCTGGGGAAAGAACAGTAAATAAGGGACAAGTCCCTGCCCTCCTGGAGCTTTTACACTCTGATGCAGAGGAGCCAGATGATAAACTAGTATAATTGCAGGGAGAGAGAAATGCTATGATAAAAAGGTGATATGATAGTAAGGGCGAAGGAGATGCTACTCCAGGGAGGATGGTCAGAGAAGGCCTCTCTGAGGAGGTAACATTTGAGTTGGGGGAGGAATCTCCATGGCGAGGGATAGCAAGAGCAGAGGTGCCGAGTTTGGCATATGGGAAGAACAGCCAGGAGGCCAGTTTAGCTTCAGTTACACAGGCAAAAGGGAGGGCACGAGGAGGTGACGTCAGAGAGGTGGACAGACTGCCATGGAGGCGTCAGAATTTTACTCAAAGCCTGGGTTCATGCCTTAGCCTGGCCACTTACAGCTCTGTGACCTTGGGCAAACTACTTGGCTTCTTTGTGCCTCGGTGCGTAAGCTCTGTGGAATGGGGATAATATTAAACCTCCTTTATAGGGTAGGTATGATAATTGAGTTAAATCATGCAGAGTGCTTAGAGGATACCTAATACCCATTGTTACTATTCTGAGTGTGATGGGAAAACATCACATTGTTTTCGAGGGTTTTAGGCAGCAAGGTGACATGATCTGTCTGAGGTTTTAACAGGATCATTGACTACTAGATGGAAAACAGACTGCAGGGGCAAAGAGCAGAGGCCAGTGAGGAAGCTAATACAGCCAGGAAATGTCAGTGGCCTGATTTTAGAGGTGGCCCCTGAGATCCAGGCTCAGTGACTAGCCTTATAGCAGGAGGAGACACAGACATCTGTTCTAGCTCCCTTTTCCCAGGGACTCCCACCCCAACTCTGCTTCTCTCTCCAGGAGGGCCAAAGTAGAAATAACCTTCGGACCCTTGACATCCGCAGCCCTGGGCCTGGAGCCTGTGGTCCTGGTAAGAGTCCTGGGCTGTGGGGAAAGGAGTGGGGAGTCAGGTCAGGTGGACCCATGGGTTCCCTTCATGCCCCATCCTCTTCTTCTCAGGGTGATGTCCGAACAGCCTGCACCCTCCGGACCCAGTTCTTGCAGAAACTCCTAATTCCTCAGGCCAAGGGAGGCAGCATCCCGTGAGTGTCATCCAGGCTCCACAGACCCTGCCAAGAACCTGGGCTTTGAGGGGGGAGTTGCTTTCTGTTAATTCCTCAGACACTCAGCCTCTGGACTACGTCAGCCCCAGGCCTTACCCTGACAGGGCTCCCAGGCTAGGACAAGGAAGAGACAAATCTACCACAGACAGTGGCAACCAGGGTGGTTAGGGCTGTTGGGGGTGGGGAAGTCTGAGAGACTCCAGGTACTCAGAGGAGACACCTTCCTCACCTAAGGAGTCAGGGAGGACAGGTTCCCCGGTGAGGAGGCTTAGCCAGGGTGAAAGGTTAAGACAGTATTCTAGACAAAGAGCACATGTGAAAGGCTCTAAGGCCAGCTAGTTGGTGTAAGCGGGGAACTGAAGTCTAGCAGGCGTAGATAGACTTGGTTTCCTCATCCTTGAAATGGGGACAGTGGTAGCCCCCCACCTTATAGGGTAGTGGTGATCAGTAGAGGGAGAGTTGATGTGTCTTGTAACAGTCTCTGTCCCCTTCCCCAACCCCACAGAACCCCTCGAGATGACTACTTTGGAGCTTCCTACCAGCACTGGCTTAGCTCAGTGGAGGTGAGGGGGACCACACCTTCTGCCCCATGAGCAAACCTCAGGGTGCCAGGACCTAACTCTTGATCCCTACCTCATCACCATGGATCCCAGCTCAGAGCACTGCCCCCCATCTGGCCCTGCTTCACCCTTCCCCCCACCAGACACTGCTGACAAACCACCCTCCGGGCCACGTCCTGGCCTCCTTGGAGCACTTGGCTGCAGAGCGGGAGGCAGAGATTCGGTCCCTGTGCAGTCCGGATGGGCTCCGAGATACGGAGATAGCCAGGTATGGAGTGGAGTGCTCCTAAGGGCGGGGCGGGGCAGGTGGATGGGTAAGCCAGAACAGACTCAGGACCAGGCACACCTGCTGATGGGAGTGGAACTGAAACCCAGTGACCAGTCTGGCAGGTGGGCTGACATTGGCCACCCCCAAGAGCCCAGGCAAGGGGAGAGGGCTCCTCCCTCAGTGGTTTTACCCCACCCCCAGGTCCCAGACACCAGACCAGTCAGACTCCAGCCAGCCCCTGCCATCCATGGTGCATCTCATCCAGGTGACCCCCGGGCATCCTTCCCAGGACTCCATCCCCTCATCCCCTTCCCATCCCGAGGCCTGCTTGATCCCTCACCCCCAGGGATGATGCCCACCCTGACTTTGTACTCCTGCCCCAGGAGGGCTGGAGGGCCGTGGGTGTGCTGGTTGCCCAGCGGGGACCCCTTCTGAAGGAGCATCAAATCCTGACCCGGCGCCTCCAAGGCCTGATGGAGGAGGTGAAGAAATGTGCGCTGGGATCCAGCGAGAGGTGAGGGGGCTCCCTCACCAGAGGCCTCTAAGCCATCTCTTTCCCAGAGGTCTCAGAATACTAGACTTTTTCTGCCCCTGTGGCTCCCAGCTCTGCCTCCCCGCTCTCCTGGTTTGTCTCCCTGTGTTTGTGGCTCCTTGTGCATCCTTACAGATCTGATCTCCCTCCTCCGCTAGGAGTCTTAGTCATCTTCCTCTCCCTGGTTCTCTTCTGCTGTGCCCCAGGCAGGCCTTGATGCTGGGGCTCCGGGGCTGTGGCCTGTGGGCAGAGCTCAAGGCCCTGCGTGCCCAGAGCCAGGAGCTGGAGGAGGTGGCTGGGCGGCGGCAGCTTATGCTGCAGGAGCTACAGGCCAAACAGCAACGGATCCTGCACTGGCGCCAGCTGGTGGTGAGAGGCCGGCCTTGGGGGAAGTGGCAGTGCCTGATGGAGGGCCAGAGAGAGGCTGGGAGCCTTAAGATCTAAAACTGGGCCTCTGGTGGTGAGGAGAGGCCCAGGGTGAGTCTCCCAAGAGGAAACAGGACCTGTACAAAGGGGAGGGCAGGCCCAGAGGCTGGGAGGTGGGAGGTGGGAAGTAAAAGGTGCCCATCTCGGTGGCCTCATGGTTGCCCAGGAGGAGACACAGGAACAGGTCCGCCTTCTCATCAAGGGCAACTCAGCCAGCAAGACACGCCTGTGCCGGAGCCCTGCAGAGGTGAGAGAGAAGTTGGGGCAAGGTTTGGGTAGGGCTGGGGCTCCTAGAGATGGGGCCAGTTGGCTCCAGGCTGCCCCTCCCATCCCTTTCCTTCCCCACAGGTGCTGGCTCTGGTTCAGCGAAAACTGGTCCCCACATCTGAGGCGGTGGCACCACAGAGCCAGGAGCTGCTTCGCTGTCTAGAGGAGGAAGCCCGGCATCTGCCCCACCTTCTGTTGGGCACCCTGCTTCGGCACAGCCCCGGAGGGTAAGACTGGAGCCACCCCCTAAATCCCCTCCCATGGGTGACTATCACTCCCTGATTCCACGCCAAAAAAATAATCCCAGGCCTCCAGTGTTCCCAAGCTGCCAGACCTCACCCCCAGGTCTCAGTCCCACTCTGGAATCCTAGTCCCCAGACCCACCTCCAAGTTCCTGGGCCTCCTGAGGCCACGTCTAAGCCCCCAGAACCTCTGGAATCCAAGCCTCGCTCCAAGTACCCCACCCAACCTGGACTATCCCTCCAGATTGCAGCCCCTGCCTACGGTCCTGCCGTCCATCCACCAGCTGCATCCTGCATCCCCGAGGGGCTCCAGCCTCATAGTGCTGAGCCACACACTGGGGCTGCCTGCAGGAAAGGTGAGTGCCTGTCCCCTAGGACCTGTCTTCCCACCCCTCCTCCCGCCCAAAGTGACCATCCTTCCCCCTCCCTCCAGGCTCCGGAACTGCTCCTCCCAAAGGCCGCCTCTCTTCGTCAGGACCTTCTATTCCTCCAGGACCAGCGGAGTCTCCGGTGCTGGGATCTGCGCCACGTGAAGACCAGCCTGCCACCAGGACCATCCACCCAAGGTAAGGCCTGCCCTGCCTTCACAACCGGCATTCCTGCCCATTCCCAGGGCCATCAGCCTCCAGAAAAAATCCCAAACGCCCATTGCTGACACAGTGCCTACTGTGCACCTAGTGCTTTAAGCATGCTCACTGGTTTCATCTGCACAGCAGCCCCATGGCGTTAGTGCTGCCATTTGTCCCTTTTACAGAGGCAGGAGCTAAGATGGGAGGCCTTGCTGGCTGCCCAGCTAGGAGAGCTAGGATTTAAATCTGACCTTTAATGTGCCAGTCTGACCTGTGTCTGTACTCCTAACCAGGTGATCCTGCCCATTAAATTGCCAAGTACTCACATATCACCATCCAGTAGGATATGTGAGTAGTTAAAAGCTAGGCTGTGGGGCGCCTGGGTGGTCAGTCGTTAAGCGTCTGCCTTCAGCTCAGGTCATGATCCCAGGGTCCTGGGATCGAGTCCCACACAGGGCTCCCTGCTCCGCGGGAGGCCTGCTTCTCCCTCTCGCACTCCCCCTGCTTGTGTTCCCTCTCTTGCTGTCTCTCTCCGTCAAACAAACAAATTAATTAATTTTTTTAAAGAGGCAAGCTAGGCTGTGGAGTTAAACTCCTCTCAGCCCTACCTCCTCCCTGCTTTGCGATCTCCCAGTGCCTCCGTTTCCTCCTCAGTGGAGTAAGCATAATCATAGTACCTTACAGAGTTGCTGGGAAGACTCAGTCCGGTTACCCAAACAGGGCACTGAACAACGCACAGCATTCAGTAAGCGCTATGTGTCTCTGGTGTGATTACGATCATTTTGCCTGCACGTGCGCAGTCCCTTTCGGTCCTTACGATGCGGGTAGGATGTTTTGTTGTTGTTGTCGTTATTGTTGTTTTTGAGAGAGAGGGAGGAGCAGGGAGGAGGAGAGGGGGAGAGAGAGAATCTTAAGCAGGCTCCATGCCCAGCACAGAGGCCAACACGGGGCTCAGCCTCACAACCCTCAGATCATGCCCTGAACCAAAATCAAGAGCCAGATGCTTAACCGACTGAGCCACCCGGGTGCCCCCCAAGGTAGGGATTATTAAGACCCAACTTACAGATGAAGAAACTGAAACTCAGCAAAGTTGTTCATTGCTAGATTCCCTCAGGAAGGACTTGCTGGGCACCTACCAGCCACTGGCCCCGAGAGCTCAATGGGGAGAGAGGCCGGAGCTGCCCATCCCCAGGGATCCCAGTGGCAGAAGCAAAGAGCCCAGAACCAAAGGATAAATGGGTAGGAGAAGTGTATTGATGAGAAATGACTTGGGGTGCCATCAGCAAAGCAGGAAGAGACCATTTTTGAGCCTTTGAGTTTTGGGCTCCTGCCTTCCCCTCTCCACTGCGCAGGGAGCTATGTGTGGAAACAGCCCAAGACATGACACAGCATCATCCCACCTCATGGGCATCTTGGGCTTTAACATGTAACAGAACATAGTTCCCTCTGTTCTGAAAAGCAGGTTTGTTTTTCTTTAGCCTCGTTTCCTTCCCTCAATAAATGACCCCAATCTCCTTACTAAGGCCGGCCAGCCAGGAGTCATTCTTATTTTCTCCCAGCACCCTAACTGCCGCCCCCCCGCCCCGACCTTCAACCTGTCAGCAAGCCTTGTAGGTCCCACTCCAGCATGCCCCAGTCCTGCCCCCTGCCCCGTGTTACACCCGACTGCAGGAGTGGCTGCAGAAAGGGCAAGTGTCATGCCTGAGGTCAGAGGCAAGGATGGAATGGAGCCAGGATTCAGGCCCAGGGGCTCTGACTGCACTGCTGATCTGTACTTGCTCTGAGATGGACCTGTTTGGGGCCTGTGGAGAGGGACTAGACCCAGTCATGTCTCCAGGGGGAAACACTGCTGGAGTGAAGGGCTGTGGCAGTCTGAGGAGGAAGCCTTGGGGTGGGGAACACTGGGAAGGGCTTCCAGGAGGAAAGGTGGTGTCTTGAGTGGGCCCAGAGGGATAGGCGAGGTTTTGGTAGTAAGCAGAGGCCACATAACGCAGACTTTCAAGTACTAGGCTGAGGAGCTCAGACTCTGTCTTGGGGGCACTGGGGAGCCTTGGAGGGTTCCATGTAGGAGAGAGAAAGGATCAGGTTTGTGCTTTAGAAAGATCACTCTGGCTGCCATGTAGAGAATGGACCAGAATGGGAGGCTGAGGCCTGGAGCCTAGGAGGGAGGCTGGGGGACAAGTAGGGAAGAGGGGAAGAAGGGGAAGGATTGGCCAAGGAAACTGATAGTCTGTCGAGGAGGGAGGAAGGTGTCCAGGATGAGGCCTGGGGGATGGTGGGCTTGCCCCTGAGATGAGGACCTGGGAGGAGGGAGAGCTTTGGGAGAGATGCTGAGGTCACGACGAGGTGACTGGAGACTTGGGGACTCATTGGCCATGAGGCACCAGGGAGCCTGAAGACTCAACACTGCCTCCTGGGTTTCTCACCTGCAGAGCTGCTGCAGATCCGGGCATCCTGGGAGAAGGAGCAGAAAGACAATCTGGGGCAGGCTCTGAAGCAGCTGGAGAACCTGCTGAAAAAAGCACTGGAGCGAATCCCCAAGCTACAGGGGGTTGTGGAGGACTGGTGAGGGGGCGTATGATGGCGGGGCAGGGTGCTGAGCTGGGTGGACCGGGGAGAACTCGGGCGGCGGAGGGAGGGCAGCTGGTGACAAGCAGGCCATGGTGTTGGCGGGGAGGCCGAGTGTCTAGAGGTCCGAGCCTTCCTGTGACGCTTCCCTTCCCCAGGTGGGAGCAGCCAGGCCAAGCCGCCCTGTCTGAGGAGCTCTGCCAGGGCCTGTCCCTGCCCCAGTGGCGGCTGCGCTGGGTCCAGGCCCAAGGTGCCCTGCAGCAGCTGTGCAGATGAAAAGGGGCCTCAAACAGGAATCAGGAGCTTCATATTCTCCCCTCCATGAGACCTTTGGAAGAGAGTGTCACCTGGATGTGTCAGCCCATTGTCTCTACCCACACTTGCTGTCCTCCTCACAGCCATTCCTGTTCTTCTCAACTGCCTTGGACCTGTCCTTTCATCCCATCAAAGCCAAGAGAACAGGGTACTCTGGACCCCACCCTAGGTCCCCCTGAAACTCCTCTCATCACTCTCACCCTCAGCAAAAAGTCATTGAGCGCCTGCTCTAAACACTGAGGATCCAGTACTGAACAAAATGGACAAAAATCCCAGCCTTCAGGAAGTTGTTCTAGGACAGGAAAGCAGACCCCTGACAAGTTAAGTGAGCAAAATATGTAGTATGTTGGAAGATAACGGCTCTGGAGAAAAATAAAGCAGGATGTAGGAGGTGCAACTTTAGATAGAAGGCTACACACACCCTGTAAAGGTAATGAGAGGGACGCACGTGGGCATCTGAGGAGGGCTTATGTGGGGCTGGAGTGGGAAGGAGGCTAGAGCTCAGGCAATGGCCCTGAGCTCAAAATGCCGGTGTGAGGGTTGAGGAGGTCGGGGTGTTCAGCAGGCGGGGTGGGGGGGGTCTTCTAGTTTTTACGTAGTTTCCTTTTTTGTATTTAAATCTCTGAAGTCGGGGCGCCTGGGTGGCTCAGTTGGTTAAGCGACTGCCTTTGGCTCAGGTCATGATCCTGGAGTCCTGGGATCGAGTCCCGCATCGGGCTCCCTGCTCAGCAGGGAGTCTGCTTCTCCCTCTGACCCTCCTCCCTGTCATGTGCTCTCTTGCTCTCTCTCTCTCAAATAAATAAAATCTTTAAAAAAAAAAAAAAATCTCTGAAGTCAATTGGAATTTATCCAAGTGGATCCAATTTTGTCTTATTTTACATATACCACAATAGCATTTCTTAAAATTCTCAGAGCATTGGTTGGGAGGAGACAGGGGAACTTTTCTAGAGTTGGAAATGGATTACATGTTGAAGGCAGTAGGGATAGGTGTCAGAACTCATCTAGCTGTAGTCTTAGGTCTGTGCACTTCACCGTGAATTATTCTTCAGCTTATAAAGTAAAACCTTACCCACCTATATAAAGTAAAACTTCAGGTGATTTGAGATGCCACCTCTTCATATGCTAAATGTCCATGATTAACCAGGCTGTATCTGGATTCTCTCCAAGTCTGTTGTGTCTGACTCATATGCCATCCCCACAGTGTTCTAATTATAAAGGTTTTGTGTTTTAGTATCTGAAATGTCTGGTTGCTATCTTGCTCTAATTTCTCAAGGTTTCCCTGTCTCTTCTTGCTAATTTTTTCTCCCAAATGAACTTTATACCCAACCTGCCTGGTTCCAGAAAAAATACAAACACGGATGGGGGTTTTGCTGGGTTTGCAGTAAGTTTACAAATGAGGGGGATTTGACATCTTTATGTCTTTACCATATCTCCTTTCCTATGTGCCACCTCAGTGTTCCCCTCCTCTCTTCATCTTGGCTCCTAGCCAAGACTGAACATGGGGGTCCTTGTCCCCCCTCCCTGCTTAATTTTTCTCCATAGTACATCTTTTAACATACTTTGTGTTCTATTTTATTTATCCTTTGTTGTCCTCCAAACAGAATGTGAGCTCCATGAAGGTGAAGTTCTCTATAAACCAGAAATTGGGCAGACTTTCCTAAATATGATCCAAAATCCAGATGCAGTAGGGGAATTATTGATGAGAACGTAAAAACAAGCTTTTGCAGGGTGCCTGGGTGGCTCAGTCAGTTGAGTGGCTGACTCTTGGTTTCCACTCGAGTCATGATCTTGGGTTTGTAGGACTGAGCCCCGCCTTGGGCTCCTGCTCAGTGCAGTCTGTTTGGGATTCTCTTTCTCCCTCTCCCTCTGCCCCTCCCCCTGCTTGCACACACTCTAAATAAATAAATAAATAAAAATTTTCAAAGAACTTTTTGCATGGCAAAAAAAAGCAAAATAAAAAGAAACGATAAATTGGGGGGCGGAATTTGCAATCTGCATAAAGGGATGTGTGTGTGTGCACACGCACACGTGTGTACATCAAAGTGGAAAAGAAAAATTCAAAGTCCATAGAAAAGTTGGCAAAGTTAAATGGACAATTCTTAGAAAATATCCTCCAATCCAATATAATAAAAGCAAATTAAAATCCTACTTTGATACATTTTCCACCTACCAGACTGCAAAACACGAAACCCAAAATTTTGGAAGCTCACTGTTGACAAGGCTGTGGGAAAACAACACTTGGTGCATCAGTGGACAGGCAATGTGGTACACCTATGGGACAATCTCCAGCAAAGCTACATACGCATTTACTCTTTGCCTAACCAATCCCACTTTTGAATTCTCTTCCAAACACATACTGGGTGAAATACAAGTTGGGTGTCCATATACAAAACAACTAGACTATTCTTCAAAAGGTCAATGGGGCTCAGGTGGGGACTGCTTTAGATTAAAAGAGACATGACAAATGCAAGGTGGGTCTTGATTGAACCATGGGATTTTTTTCAGTGAAAGTACATTTTGGGGACAACGGGAAATTTGAAAATTGGGAATGGGAAACGTATGTTAGAGAATATTATACTGTGTCTTTGTTAAATGTCTTTGCTGGGATAATGGCATTGTGTTTAGGTGGGAGACTATTAGAGGATGCATATTGAAGTATTAAGGATAATGTCTGCCACTTTGAGATAGTTGAGAAGAGAATAAGGTAAAAGGGACAGGGATGGAAGCCAAACATCTTCAAACATATGAATATACACTGTTTCATACTTTGCACTGTGGAAACATCTAATTTTTCGTAATTTAAAAAAGTGAGAAAAAACCCCTAAAAATTGAAAACAAACGAATCTAACTGTATCAAGTTGGTGGCACAATTGATTCAGATAAGAATTATTCCAGGGTGCCTGGGTGGCTCAGATGGTTAAGCGTCTGCCTTCAGCTCAGGTCATGATCCCAGGGTCCTGGGATCGAGTCCCGCATCGGGCTCCCTGCTCAGCGGGGAGCCTGCTTCTCCCTCTACCTCTCCGTCTCTTATGAATAAATAAATACAATCTTTAAAAAAAAAAAAAAAAGAATTATTCCAGGTGAGGTTAATAGTACTTTCAAGGCACCTGGGTGGCTCAGTGGGTCGGTTAAGCTCAGGTCATGATCCTATGGTCCTGGGATTGAGTCCCACATTGGGCTCCCTGCTCAGCAGAAAGTCTACTTTTCCCTCTCCCTCGCTGCTCTCTCTCTCTCTGCCAATAAATAAATAAAATCTTTAAAAAATAAAGTAAATAAAATAGTACTTTCACTTGATGCCTCCAGTGGTACATGCATCCTAAGGGAAAAAGAACTGAAATACAATCTTAAACTGCATGTATTAGTCTTGTTTGTAATAACATGTTTTTATTTTGATAAAAATATATAGTTTACATTTTTGATACCTACATTATATATTTTGAAATTATGTACTTGACTAAAGCAAATAAGTATTTGTGCTAATGTTACTGGGAACCAGGTTTTTTTTTAAGTAGGCTCCATGCCCAGCGCGGAGCCCCATGAGGGGCTTGAACTTATGACCCTGAGGTCAAGACCTGAGCTGAGATCAAGAGTCGGATGTTTAACCAACTGAGCCACCCAGGTGCCCTGCTGAGGACCAAAATTTTTAATGTAAATGAAGTATCAAATCAAAGGAGTAAACTTTAACCCTGTAATCTTTCATTTGACTTAGAAATAGCATAATGAACTTGTGGGTTTTTCTCTTTCTAGAAAATACATATTTCCCTAGCTCAGACCACGGAAAAGGTCTAAATATGATAACCCAGTAATAATGAGCAACCCTCGTCCCCAGATTGTGGACTCTAAAAGCCATTTTTTACTAGATGGAACTAGGGATGTTTGGGGAAACAGCTGATTCCAGGTCTGGGACAGGAAATTGGCAAATGAGTATGAGGCATCATGTGCCAGAAAGCAAGGAAGTCCTCCAAGACTAGTGAGTTTGAGTCAGAAGGACTCAGGAGTCAATCTGAAGTGGCTGCCACTGGCCAAAGATGGGACATTCTGAGCAGCAACTAGAGCGACTGCAATGATTTGAAGCACATGAAATATGTTCGAAAATGTAAGTTCGTGTTAGTGTTCATACAATACATCACTGGTCACCGTTGAAGGTGCTGGGAACCAAGTCGTTTTGATTTTTTTTTTTTTTCATAAAATAGGGAAAGAATCAAGCATGTCTTTCCTGTATCTGAACAAGTGAAAGAATAACTGATCATTACAGAGAGAATAATAAAATTTGAAAACCACTATTTTCCATATATCAACGAAGTAGTAGATGCAGGTAATAATGATCAAGGGCTGCTAAAGCTAGTAGTGGAAAGGTTGATTGGGCATCTTAAGATGGAGCAGGATGACACTGATCAGTCTTAGGGCACCAAAAGAAGACAACTAGACATCATGTGCTCCTGATAGAATACAATAAGATACATTACAATAGCACTTTGGAGGACATATTCTCTCACCAAATAAAACCTAAATCTAATCAAGCTTCTAGCTGTCAATATACTATATAAGAAAGGGGGGAGAGGGCAGTGAGGAACAAATGAAACAATATAACCAGTTAAACCCAAAATGTAAGATATCCTATAGGACAACTGGTCCGGTTTCTTCAACAAATAGAAGGCAAAAAAAGGTGGGGATGAGGGGGGAAAAGAAGGAAAGGGAGGGAGGAAGGAAGGAAGAAAAAGTCAGGGGGAGGGAAATTTATAGATTAAAAAAGACTGAAGATTTTAAATACTGGAACAATTTTGGCAACAAAATAACTAAAGTAGTATTGAATTATAACCCAAAGTATAAAATATCCGTGAGTCCATAATGACAAAAATGATGTAATAAAGAGCCCAAGGCAGATGCTTAACCAACTTAGCCACCCAGGCACCCCAAAAGCCAGTATTTTAACAAAGCATTCATTACTGCTGATTTAGACC